AGATGATGAGAGCAAAGGCCAAATAAAAAGAAAAGCAAGTGAAAGTCTTGTAAATGGCGAGTTCACTCAATCTTCTATGGAATTGAGGATGAATGAATCTTAAATATTACAATTTGTTATTTTAACACAATTTAAGGGAAAAAAATCATGGTTGTTTTAAGGTTCAAGTTACTGCGTATTTACAAATTAAGACTTGATGTCTAAAACAATGTGTCAATTGACCGATTCTGGATGATGTGCAAATATTCAGGGCCAACAAAATTTTGCAACAAGCTTTGAGGTTGTAAGATCATTCTATCTCTCAAACAGAAGGCCAGTAACTGAAGCAAAGAAAGCTACTGCCTGTTGGAATGTAGATCCTGTTTTTTCGATACTATCTGTTTTCTAGCCATTATCTCTATAATTTAGGAAGTTTAAGTTGTTTAGGTTGTTATCATTTAAATTAGATTAGATAAGATTAGTTAATTATCTTTTTAGATAAAGTTATCTTGTAAAGCCTATTTAAAGGTTAGTTTATTTTCAATTTAATGAGATTTGGATTTTCATTCCATCTCCTTCTTCTCGGGAATCCTTGATTTTTAACATTTGGTATCAGAGCTTATTGCCAGCAAATTCCATGGCTTCCGAAAATTATGTTCAGCCCTCAACCCCTCGTTTTGATGGTCATCACTACGACCATTGGAGTATGTTGATGGAGAATTTTCTCCGGTCCAAAGAGTATTGGATAGTTGTTGAAGCTTGTGTTCCAGAACCAGCGACAGATGTAAATGCTGCATAGAGGGTAGAAATTGAGAAGGAAAGATTGAAGGATCTCAAGGCTAAGAATTATTTATTCCAAGCCATAGATCGGGCTGCCTTGGAAACAATTCTTAACAAGTCTACTTCCAAGACTATTTGGGATTCCATGAAGAAGAAGTACCAGGGGAATGAAAGAGCTAAGCGACAGCAGCGCTAGGCTTTGTGGGCAGAATTCAAAGTTCTGCAGATGCAGATAGGTGAATCTGTAGATGATTATTTTGCAAGGATGATTGAAATTGCAAACAAGATGAGGATCCATGGTGAAAATCTGGAGGATGTTGCCATAGTTGAGAAAATCCTTCGATCTATGACAACAAAATTCAATTATGTTGTCTGTTCAATTGAGGAGTTAAATGATATTGAGACACTTTCCCTTGATGAGTTATAGAACTCGTTGTTAATTCATGAGCGAAAGATAAACCGCTAAGACAAGCAAGAGCAAGCAGTGCAAATTTCGCAGACGCAAGCCTTACAGACCACAGTTAATTCACGAGCTGTAGGTCGAGGAAAAGAAAATTGGAAAGGCAGATCAAGATCTGATTGACCAAAATCTGACAGACTAGAAGGAAGTTTAGCCACTAAAAATTAGAAAAGGTGGCAGAACAGAAATTCTCCAGCTGTTGATAACAAATCCAAATCTGCAGGCAAGGAAAATGTTGAATGCTTCCGATGTCATAAGTATGGCCATTATCGTTCTGAGTGCCATGCTAATCTAAATAGAGGAGAAAGTTCTAACTTTGTAGAACACAATGAGAGGAATGACGATGCCCCTTATTCATGATCTGTTATCCTAAAAAAGTCAACAAGAAGAATGTGTGGTAACTGGACACTGGTTGCAGCAACCACATGTGTGGAGACAAATCTATGTTTTCAAATCTGGATAAGTCTTTTCAAGACAAGGTGAAATTTGGTGATAATTCCACTATTGCAGTCAAGAGAAGGGGAAAGGTAACCATTCGTGCCAAAGACAATTCAATTAAGACTATTGCTAATGTTCTGTATGTACCAGATTTGAAATCGAATTTGCTTAGTCTGGGACAACTTTAGAAGAAAGGATATGAAATCCTGATTAAAGATGGAGTTTGCCAAGTTCGTGATGCAAAGCTTGGCTTGATTTCAAAGGTCAAGATGATGGAAAATAGGTTGTTTCCATTATTCTTGTAGACCACAAATCTGTCATGTTTATCTACCAGATTGAAGGACACAGCTTGGTTATGGCATTGCCAATATGGATATCTTTATTTTGGTGGGTTGAAAGCTTTGCAGCAAAAGAAGATGATAAATGGTCTTCCTCATTTTGATTCTCCTTCAGAAATTTGTGAAATCTACGTGGTCAGTAAGCAGCATCGTGACAGCTTTCCTAAAGACAGATCTTGGAGAGCAAAACAGGTGCTAGATCTGATTCATTCTGATCTGTGTGGACCCATAAATCCAACATCGAATGGAGGTAAACAATACTTTATTACCTTTGTTGATGATTACAATCGCAAAACATGGGTGTATTTTTTGTAGACCAAGTCAGAAGCCTTAACAGCGTTTAAAAAATTCAAAGTCTTAGCTGAGAATGAGGTTGGCAGATCTATAAAGGTTCTGCATACAGATTGTGGTGGTGAGTTTAACTCAAAGGAATTTGCAAATTTTTGTGAGACTAGTGGTATTAAAAGGCAACTCACAACAGCTTATACACCTCAACAGAATACTGTATGTGAAAGGAGGAATCGCACAATCATGAATATGTTGCGAAGTCTGATGTTAAAGAGTGGCTTGCCTAAGGAGTTATAGCCAGAAGCTATTAATTGGAGTGTTCACATCTTGAGCAGAAGTCCCACATCTCTACTTCCAGATATGACGCTAGAAGAGGCTTGGAATGGACGCAGACCTACTGTTGAGTATTTCAAAATTTTTGGGTGCATAGCATATGCACATGTGCCATATCAGAAAAGGAGAAAACTTGATGACAAAGGGAAAAAGAGTATTTTCCTTGGTGTGAGTGATCAGTCCAAAGCTTACAGATTATACAATCCTATAACCAAGAAGGTCATTATTAGCCGTAATGTAGTGTTTGATGAAGTAAGCACTTGGTCTTGGACAGAAAAATCTAGGCGACAAATTCCTGCAGATTTCGAGAATGGTGAAGATCTGACTGTGCAGAACTCAAAAGGTCAAACACAGCAGACTAAAGGTTTAACTTCAGCAGATCTCGAAGTTTTGAGATAGAAAACTAAAGAAAGTCTGTCTGCAACAGCAGAACCTAATATTGGAGGAAGTCTGCCAACAACACCAAAACTGGAATCTGGAACTAATTCCAGACCTCAATGCAAAAAAAGAAGACCAACATGGTTGGAGGATTATGAGGTAACAGATCTACCTCAAGATGATGTTTCAGTTACTCATTTTGCTCTATTTGCAGATTGTGATCCATTAACATATGAAGAGGTTGTTAAAGAAGAAAAGTAGCAAAAAGCCATGGCAAAAGAAATTGGTTCTATTGAAAGGAACCAGACCTGGGAGTTGACAAATCTCCCAAAAGGGCATAAGATAATTGGGGTTAAGTGGATCTACAAGACAAAGCTCAAAGAGAATGGGGAGGTTGACAAATTCAAAACTCGCTTGGTAGCAAAAGGTTACAAGCAAGAGTTTGGCATTGATTATCAAGAAGTTTTTGCTCCAGTGGCAAGGATGGACACCATCAGATTGGTGATTGCATTGACAGCACATAACTCATGGCCAATCTACCAGTTTGATGTGAAATCGGCCTTCTTGCATGGAGATCTATAAGAACAGGTATTTATTGATCAACCTCCTGGTTATGTGAAATATGGTTCTGAGCATAAAGTTTATAGATTGAAGAAACCATTATATGGACTAAAACAAGCACCTAGAGCTTGGTATAGTCATATTGATGCTTATTTCTTAAAGGAAGGTTTTCAAAAGTGCCCTTATGAGCATACACTTTACATCAAATTTGGAGATGGAGGTAAATTGATTATTGTGTGTTGATGATTTAATTTATATTGGGAATGATCTTGGCATGTTGGAGAAGTTCAAGCAGTCTATGAA